AAAATCGGAGCACACAGATAACAGTGTTGTAGGACATAGCGTTCTTCCCCAGCATTCAATCAAATACCATCCTCGTCGCCTTGACCACTCCGCACTTGCAGTAGACATCATGGATGTCCGCGAAGATATTTACGAGCTCATCAAAAGCCACCACGGACCGCAAAAGCGTGTATCTCGCGGCATGTCTCAAGCGTCTGGGATCAATGTGGGTGGGCAACACGGACACGAGCATGACAGAGTTAGGATGCACCCCATCCTAATCCTGCATCCGAACAACTATCTCCATGGCAACCCCAACGAGGCCATTTCTCGTGTATCCAGGAACGAGTGCGTTCTAGCTGATGCAATCTCACACATGCATATTGTCGAACACCCTGCATGTGTTGCCAGCCCAACGACACTTGGCGCACCTATTGGCTAGCCGCCGACGCTGTCGCCATGAGCTGGGCATGGACGACACGGCCCGTGGCGAGTTTCGCGTGTGCTGCGTGGAGCTTGAGGAGCAAGGTGAATGTACAAAGGGCATGGATGTGGAGCAAGACATGACGGTGAATGCGGGGAGCACACGACCTTGGACCTCAGGAGCGCGCGATGGTTGGAGGTGGCCTGTCTGCCACCGGGAGGAGACGATAACATGATCGAGCACAACTTCTTCTTCTTTTACCTTTATACCGCGTTATCGTTTCACAACCTTTTCTTTCCAGATAAACTAAAACTTGCGCTGGATGCTTTAATGCATTGATAGATAAAGAAAAATGTTTTGCACAAATCTTGGACCAGACACCCCAAAATGCAACTCCACACGTTTAATAAGTAACCACCCGGAGAAGTGCAACAAGGCTTGATCATATCAAGCAAGATGTCGCTTTTGGACTACACATTCGTTATTGAAGCTACATTGCACGTAGCTCCATGTGTTTTTCCTATATCGCTACATTTCTTCATGATCTGGGAACTGTAATGTTCCATGATGGAGAGCAGAGGACGGCATGGCGTCGAAGAACCGCTCGTCTGTATAAGTTCTTCTGGTTTGAACCAGAGTGTTTCATTCCTGGTGTCTCCTATTCTCAAGCTTAGCTTGTCTTTCCTTTTCTGTTTCATCTTTCTTGCATTTTTGCTATATATTGAAGGATGTCACAGAAAATTTGTTATGTGGTGAAACTTAAGGACTCGCGAAACATGAAGGGAACCACTCACCCTTAGGTTGTGTATACATATATGATATATCCATGTATATGAGTTGTAAGACATATAAGGTGGTTGGTGATTGTATTTATCACCCATACATTTTTGAGATTTTTTAAAGCTACATAACCAATGCGATGCTTTTATATATCAAGGGCAAGGGACACATTCTCTTTTAAGCTGCAGTCAAGGTGGTTGGATGGAACATGTGCAAACTAGTTTGTTGTTGCCAACTTATAAATTTAGATTAAAAAAATTTAACACAACTATTCAGGTCCTCTACATCCTTAGACACTCGACTACATCAATGTGCAAACATGCTACCTCAACATACAACTATGCACAAAAATTATCCACCACAACATACACCATACATAGTAAGATGGTTTGAATTCTATTACGGTAAAATTCAAAAACATTTTACAACCATTTAATAATTAACTATAATGAATCATATGTATTTTTTAGCTTCATTCAATTGTTAATCCGAATATTCATGTGCTATATAGCTGCGTCTTAGTGAATCACATTACAACCGATTCCAGCACCAATGGCGCAATCTAGTTTATAAAATCGATTCGTACAGTTGCAAGCATCGAGACTGCATTGATCCCTAAACAAAGGACTGCATTGGTCCTTATATAACTTGGTAGTACAAATTTAGGGACTAGCTATATGTAAGTCATCTGAAATTTATTTTGGATAAGTTTGATCAATTGGAGAGATCTGACTCGGTTGCTTTGAATATTTCAGGAGATCATAGTTAAAGAAAAAAGGGGAACCTGGAAGTTGTGGTTGTTATAGGCCGAGCAATCTTGATATGCCAAGGGACACAAACGAGGAGATGGTTGTCAAGCTGAAGTGCATACCATACCTAGGATGTTGCATCTGTTTAGCATGTGACCTTCATCATTGCACGCCGATGCCTTGTTGATGGCAGCATTCATTTAGATATGTAGTTTGGCTCATATTATATGTGAAAGAATTCAAAGTGCTTCCTGGGAGATTTTTTTTTTTAGAAAAGGAGGCCAGCCTGGGAGATATGTAGACTACAAATGTTTCAAATTGTGCTTTGTTTCTCTGTTGGGTGTTTCCTGGTGGTGTCGATGAACTCATGAGCTAGTGTTTAAATTGATGTCATTTGCTCCTTGTTTATTTATGTGTTGTCGCCAACCAACCATGGGCGGGAAATCATGGTTTACTTATCTGTTGTAATGATGTGTTTAGTGGATGGAAATTGAGATGCATGGTGATATTGTTGTGTAGATAAAATGGAGTGGTTGAGATGCCTGCCTGCTGGCTGGTGTTATTCAACTCATGAACTAGTGTCGCAATTATTGTCGATGAAACCTTTAGCGATTATTTTTCCTGTTTGCCTCGAGATATAGATTGGATTGACCTCATGCGTATATTCATGTTGTTGAACTCACGCGTATATTCTCCTTGTATAATTTATTGGTTGCAAGCTCCTTTTGTTAGTATCAATATTTGCGAAAGAAGAGAATGTTGACATACAAAAGAAATAGCAACAATCATCACATCTAGTTGGGTGCTATACAAACCTTTCACCAGCATGGATATTGCATGTTGGTAACTCAGTTTGCTCCATGTTTCTAGGCACAGTAATTGTATGTAGATGGTGATTATGCACACTGCAAGCACGCATAGATCCAAACCAAAATGCCGCCCCTAGCCTTTCGGCGTATATGCGTCGATGTGTATTTCTAACAAAGTCGTGCCAATCAGGTACAGTAGCGGACTTGTATCTAGAAAAGTTGTGTCAGCAGTGTGTACATGCATGAATGTGTTCTAGAAAAGTACCGTCATTGGTGAAGAAACGATGTAGCACGTAGGAGCCAAAAGTAACACGAATTAGTCAGTAGCAGGCAACCCATCCAGCGGAGAAGAGCCACCACACAAAGGGTGGAATGGCGTATGGGAGTTTAGTCCTATAGTGCCGCGCTTACTATTTCTTGCATTAAGTTTTTTTTTGAGCAGAAAATGTATCCTTTATTCAACGTTCAAAAACATAGGGATACAAATGATGTCGGGCAAATCAGTAAGCCACACATGGCGCCCGGGTGGGAGAGAAGCAACCGCCTTAGCTAAGGCATGGGCTTCCTCATTATGTTTCCTATTCTCATGCACAAACTGAATGTCTTGGATAGAGCGTCTTCTATGCTTGATCTCCTCTAAGAGAGCGAAATAACGGCAAGGGGCACCATTATGGATATTTGAAATCACCACGAGGCAGTCCGATGCAACACACACGGAGTGAACATGAAGATCCGCAGCAAGAGCAAGAGCTTCGTTACACGCCTGTGCTTCTAGTATAGTTGGATCAAGCAACCCTTCGAAGATAACTGCGGAGGCACCAAGGAACAGGCCCTGCCTATCCCTGCATATCACCGCCGAAGCGCCACGATCTCCAATTTTGGAGAGGCCACCATCAACGTTCATCTTGACGTCGTGCTCCCGTGGCGGAAGCCAGGCCGACTGTATTTCCTGGTCTCGCATCAATTCTTCCCGGTACCTTACATGCACGTCCCCGGCCCTTAAATGCAGGTCCCTTGGTTTTGCAAGACGGTCCCTGGGCCGCTCCTGCACGTCGGGGATCATCTCCAGATCCGACAGGAATTTCTCAATGAAGGAATGCGTACTTAGCGGACTTTGGAACTGATCATCATGGATTGCTCGGCATCTTGCCCACCAAATGGCCCACATTGTGACTAGAACGCGCGCAAGTTCCATCGGGGGAAGGGTGTCAACAAGCCACAACATCCACAATTTTGCATCGTCAGTCCGGTTCGAGACAATGGT